ATTGTTTCATTGAAGTCTTTGTTGGTTACGTAATTGTACATAGCTTTCTATAGTACGTGTCTAGAAGAATAACGATGCTGCTATATTTGGCTTAATTCATGTATTTCTTCATTTGAGCCTCTATTTGGATCATGTTTATAAATACTTAAATTAGTTTTTATTCGTACATTTAAAGAGATTCACTTATTTCTATCTATTTATAATTTAACGGTAAGACATGTTTTTAATCTCTACATTCGACATCAAATTTAACCTAAAAGTATTATCAAGATTTCCCTTGGCTAGAAATAATTCATTGCACAATGAGGAAAAAATATTATGATGGATGTCAAAATCCTCGAGACCTTTCGATAGTAGCAAGAGCCAAATCAGTTAGGGTTCGTTTAGTTTGTATTTCAGTTTTGAATTCATTTGAGTGTTTATTTTAAGATTATTTAAAACGTATTTAGTTTATCATTTTGAAAAATTATTTCTTAAAACAAAAAACTAAAAAATACGTTTGAAATTTTGAAAAAAATTGTTTTATGACATTTTGTTACAATAAATTTGATTATTCAATAAAAATAGAATAATCTTATATTAATATAATATCAAGCGATATACATATTTTAAAGTTGTTGAATTTTACAATATTTTTTCTTACTACAAAAGTAAAATAAAATAAATAATGAATTTAGTTAAAATATAAAAAATAAAAATTAATGACGTGGACCTACTGATGTCAACGAGCCGAGTTGAGCCTGAGCCGAAAAGAAAAAAAAGCTCGAGCCGAGCCCGAACTTTTTTGGACCAAGCTTTTTTTGTCCCGAGTCGAATCCAGCCGAGCCCGACCAACCTTAGCGGGCCGAGCGGGCTCAGATTTTTTGGTTTTTTTTCTTAGATGCCTGCAAAGGTAGTCTGCAGGCTGTTTGCTGCCTTAAAAAAAAAATTTTTTTTTTAATAGGAGGCTCGCCCGGGCTACGAGCCGGCCCGGGCTCGAGCCGATTCCCCAAAGTGGGGCTCTGCCCGAGTCGGGGCTTGAGCCGTCCGAGTCTCCTAACTTTTTTGCCACCGCTACGGGGACCTAGAATATTTTTTCCAGTGTTTTCACCCTTATTTAAAATATACACTAGATAGGGATGGTAAAAAAAAAATATATCTCTTCTATATATAAAGTGGCTAAACGGAATTTGTTGTTTTAACGAAAAATTTAGCAAAATTTTTTGTTTTAACGGAAAATCTAACGGAAGTTATTGTTTCCGTTAAATAGCAATTAAGTCTTGACCCATTCCTTTCATATTCCTTGCTATTTGACTGGATTTGGCTCCTAAATTGCTCAATTCTTCTCCTACTCCACTTGAAGCCTGGTAAATCTCTTCTCCCTTGCTCCCTCCCTCTCTAGTTCATAATCTAAAGGATTTCGATCGGTGACCCAATATCATGTTC